TTGCCAGCAGAGTGGTGCCTAGGCACCAGTTTCCTCCCAGAAAACAAAGAAGACGGCGCTTAGGCGCCCTAACTATCCATGGGCGGTTTCTGCATGCCCCTGGGAGTTATTTAACGAATCCGGATGGTTGGGAAAAACCTTTTGGCATTTCTAAATCCTGAAATTCTCTAGGAACGTCAAGAGGTTGTAGATTGGAGTAAGAAATGCAAATTTTTACCTTTTCTCGAGAGATTGGAGAGAGGATATCTATACGGGAATTGTATTAGCATTGCATGGAACAGAATGAGGCATTATTAGAGGGATTTTTATCTTTCTTTCATAGAGGAAAAGGTAAGTATTGTGTTCTTCATTTTATTGTACTTGTTGTAATCACTTATTTAGTGGATTTTCTTTGATTTAATGAAATTTTCTGTTGTGTGTGACACATGCTTTGTGAAGTAGAATTCGTGTACTTTTCTTTTGCAATTAATTGGATGAATGTTTAGGATGTTAGATGCCTGATAGAATAGGTTTTTCATATCAAAGTGATGGTTCTTACTTCATGTTTCATTTACTAATCAATTTGACCAATTGATATGTTAAAATTTGTTGTAAACCCACAAGATCCAAGAGGGTTATGACTTTAACGACTAGGAGGAACCACATTAAACTTATGGGTAAAGGAAAAGTAGTTGAAAGATTCAATGCAATGTTATTGATTGGTACAAATTAGGGTTTATACAGACTAGATTCCTAACCAATTTGATTTAGGGTTTCGTACTTTAAAACTAAGATTAGCCAATTTGAGGGCAATTAGGATTAAGACTCTAGGATGACAATCTAGAAGTCTTGTTATAATCTATATTTAAAGAATCGACATTAGATTAGTCGAGCTTCTTTATGCACTCGACAGAGGGTAAAGAAGATATTGCTCCTATTTGGCACTTACTATAGTTCTATTCTAAGCATCTCACTCCTGCTCTTTATCTAAGTCATCACTAGAGAAATGTAGTTTTTACATCTAAAAATTTACCAAACCAATTGATTTATTTAAGCTTAACTTTAGATTTAAGTTTGTATTTAGTAGTAGTTGATAGAAAAACACCCTTAATCGACGTTCAACACAAAGACCTGATAGTAGTCTACTAGAACTTAGCCTGAGAGATTTCTTACCTTGCTTCTTTATGAGACTCCATTAGAGCTCTATATTGCTTAAACGATATGTATGTTTGCGTAGAACACTTAGTGTGTAAATTATAAATCAAATTTTAAACTCTATAACATATTCATTTTGCATATTAGCCGTCTAAATAAACTGGGTCAAGTTTTTTACCATGAAACTAAATAACTGTGTAACTTCGGATCAGGTCACATATATAGCATAAAAGGAGGGGAGAAGTCACGCAAAGCAACATAATTTTCTTCCCAAGATATTCTAATTTACACCCTTGGGCCATTATTTATAATAAAAGATCCTATAAGTTCAAAATAAATAATCAAACCAATCTGAAACTACTGTAGTGCAAAATTCTAAGTCGTACCAGTTTCTCATAACCAAATTACAGTCGTACCTATCTTGCATTTCACTAGACTAAAATTCATGATACAAAATAGTTAGATAGATTTAGTTGGTTGTCCTTTCAAGGCAAAATTATAAGCTAGAAGAGTAAGAATTACTAATAATAATAACAATTATAAATAATAGTGATAGTGATAATAAATATTATTATTATTATTATGGATATCATTAACACTCTAAAAGATTTGGAGCACCAATATTATATGTTCTAGTATAGTAAAAAGTTGAATTTTTTTAAGTTAATTCTCTAAACTAAGTAAATCTTAATCATAGGTGATACTTCAATTGTCGTTCTTTGACTCAGTCTTAACTTGACTATGAAAGTGATACCAAAGTTAACCCAAACAACAATAGAAAACGAAAATATTATTGCTAAAAATGAAATAGGTTAAAACGACGACTCTTCAAAAATAGAAAATAATAACAACAAATAGAAAAAGACGCGACGGCAAAGGGGGTGAACCCCAACTGGACAAAAGGCGGGGATGATTGGTCGGGGTGCGCTTGCGGCAACAAATGGGGCTGATATGGAGAGGTGGCAGCTGCTGGAAAATCTGAGAGGGGCTGCTACAGCATTTGGGAAGAGCTCGAGAAGATGACAGCAGGTTGGGGTAAGGCTTGGGAGGGTTTGCGGCAAGATTTGGACGGCTAGGAAAGAGGAGGGGTAGGAGAAGGGTTTGACACAGAGAGGAAGGGGCAGCAAACAACCTCAATGAAAGAGAAAAGTGCAGCTGGGAAGAAAATAGTTACGGGAAAATAACCAGGCGGCAGTGTAAGGGCTGCAGTAGGCGGTAGGAAGTAGAGATGTGCGAGGAAGGTGTCAGGCAGTATGAATGCGGGTAGGGGGAATAGGAATTGGTGGAGATAATCACCACCTCAGAGCAGGATACAGCCGGAGCACCACCCGCCCTCGAATACAACCCTAACTAGGTAGAAATGCCCGGAGGCTGAAATATGAAATCAGAACACAAAACTCTAACCCTAAACAAAACAAATGACATATTTATAATAGAAGAAAAGGAGAGGGAAGCCCCTCCCTTGGGCGGTAAAATAGCTTCCTTGCATCGCCTGGTCCAAGCAACAGTAGAGCTGAACCAGCCGGTTCAGACCCCTAGCCCCGCATTAGAGAGTCCCAAACTTCTGAAAACTAATTATAGTTTCTAATAGTAGCATATTGTTTCTTCATTTTTTTTCCCCTTTTTAATTTCCTTACTGATTTTTTCTTCATTCTTGGTCATGTCCTACACAATCACTTTTTGGCAACACCAATTAGTTAGGGGAGAAGAATCTATTTATACCCTCACAAAACTAAAACCTTAGTTTTGAACTTTGAAGGCAATTAAACTATTTTTTAATTCTAGTTTTTTTTGTTAGGGGAGAAGAATCTATTTATACCCTCACAAAAATCTCTAAAACCTTAGTTTTGAACTTTAAAGGCAATTAAACTATTTTTGAATTCTAGTTTTTTTAAAATTTGAACTTCTGTTATGTTAGCTCTATAATCATAGAAACGGCTTTCAATCAAACTTAACTTAATCACCTAATGCATTTGTTTCTTTGCATTTAAATTAACTAGATCAACATGTTAACGACAATAAATAAAAAGATATAATAGCTACAAATAAGCCTTAAGCCATGCAAAGAGTCTCATGTAAGAATATTATTATTCGACTCAATTAAAAATTAATTCAAAATGAAGCAGGATATTAGGCCTTCTTCTAAAATTTAGTCACTTGCAATTTTCTTTAGTTACAAGGCAAATTTTCTCTATACTTTTCATTCAAATTTCTCAAACTTCTCATATGATATAGCTTACAAATTATTACATAACCATAAAAAACATATTTTGCAAATTAATCAGGATTGGAAAAATATGAAAAAACCTAAAAATTAGAAAATCATTTCAACAGAATATATTTATCACACAGAGAAAGAAGACACATTTGATGACAAGCCATTGCAATCCTTCACTTGTTGAGAGTCTGATGCTGCAAAAGATGAATTGGGTACTTCTACAGAGCCTAAGTGTGGGACTGGTTTATATTGTTTATCATCTTTCAAAGAGCTGAATAAGTTGATCAACAAGCCCGATTCTGGCACAATTTCTCTCGCTGCTTGATTGAGCTTAAAGACCTCTTCCAAACAATCTTTAGCTACATCAAGGCCTTCAAGATCTACCCCAGGGGCTGGTTCAACTGTTCTTGAGAAAAGAGACATTGTCACCAAAAAAAAAACTATTAAGAGAATAGAGAAGTCAAATATAATAAACTTTGAGTCAAATAAGGAAAAGCACGGTTATTGCTTCACATCCAATGAAAACTAACAAATGACTACCTGAATAGCATTAACCACCACATTATTATGTTCCTCTAAAATGTCTATATGGTTCATAGATGACACAGTTCATCATGACCCCAAACTCAAAAATGGGTTCACTTAACTACAAAAAACGATTTGAAGTGTGAAAATATAAACAAAATAACTAACTAGAACTCTGTCAATATCGTGAATTTTGGTTGCATGGAACACACCCTCGCATCAAAAAAAAATTTTAAACAAGTAGGTAGGTTGGTTCACATAGGAAAGTTGTCTAGGCATTTGAATATGGGGCTAACTAAGAGAATGTCAAACAGCTATCATACGGTTTGAAAACTAACATGAAACTAAACCTCATTTTTCTTGCACGAATCTATATCACGACATTTAAAAGGAAGAAATCAGGCACAAGATCAAAGAGTAACCCTTGGTAAAAACAATTATGCCAATCATAAGTGAATTGGTTGGTGACATGGTTAATGTGGATATAGCAAGCTCCTGAAATTTGATGCCATTCCAAAGGCCCCTCAGGTTTCAAACTTTTTAAGGTTGCTTTGATACAAAATAGATGAAATATGTGAAACTTAATTGGTAGCCCAAAGCAACACAGAGGTGTATATGATGGCCAAGAAGATCATGATGAGGTAGAAAGTGGATAGGGTTAACTAGGAGAAGTGGGGGTGCCTTACGATTTGCATTATTGGTATTCCAAGGAACCCAATTGCTCCTCCTTGGATGGAGACTCAAGGATAATGGCAAGGGGATGGTTTAAGAGCTAGAGTGCGTAGTCTGAGGCTAGCTTAGGAGTAGATGAGCTTTGGAATTGTCTGCAAAAAAATGATGGGTGTAACGTCCAGTACAGAAAAGGTTGCTTGGATTTGGGCTTTGGAAATGAAAGTTTGGCAAGAAATCAAGAGGAGGACAAAAGCTTTTGCATGGGAGTGAATGGCCGGCACTTATATTTATGGTTTAATGTATTCAAAAATATAAACTACCATTACCTGTTCCATAAATAATTTTTTAAATTCGACAACAAGCCTTTATCCCACTAAAAATGGGGTCAGCTACTAAATGGGGTCAGCTACATGAATCTTTTTTCTCCATAGTGTCCTATTGAGTGTCATATTTTCATTTAGTCTAATAAATTAAGATCATTTTTTAATATAACATGGTCAAGTCTTTTTAAGTTTACCTCTACATTTTTTAACATAAGTCAAATCTAAAACATTCACTCTCTTAACAGAATAATCTGGTGGTCGACGTTTAATGTGAACAAACCATCTAAGACGACTCTCTCTAATCTTGTCTGTCACTGAAGCTACGACAACCTTTCACGAATACAATCGTTTCGCATTTTGTCTCTTAAGTGTTAAGCCAACTCATCCACTTAAACATTCTTATCTCAGCAATACTTGGTTTTATGTTTCTTTTTTAAAGGCTAACATTTTGTGCTATAAAGCATTGCAGCTCTCACCACCATCTTATAAAATTTTCCTTCTAAGTCTAAGCAGCACTTTTCTATCACACAATAGGCCTGATGCATTCCTCCGCTTCAACCATCCAAATTGAATTCTACCAATAAAATCCACATATATATTATTGTCAAGTCCTAAGGCTTGGAATTAATTAAAATAGAAACAATCAACAGTGGGAACTAAATTTTTCTATATTCATCAACAATTTAACAAATGAATGGACCACAAATCAAACTAAATCAAAGCAATATATTTAAAATTACACCATTATTGGTTAACCGCATCTTCTATAAACATTATTTCTTCTGACACTCATCGTTAATCGCTTAATTAACCTGAAAGTTAGTTTAAAATAACAATAAGGTAAACAAGCGAGTGAACACTCATACTCATAAACCACAGTAATTTAAAAAAAGGGAGCAATATGCATGTCAGTTAAGCTTTTAATAGATCAATAAAAACATTTGATGTTACTAAAGAACTTTACTATAGCAATGATATATCAATATCGTACTATATTTGTACAACTGTTATAGGAGCACCTTCTAAAAAATTTATCAATTAAGACACATCAATATCAATAACCTTTTTCATATACATGTACGGGTGCATCAGTGTTCCCCACTAGTACCATAAAGGGGTGACTGAACCAAAGTCAATCATGCACATACAAACAGTCAACATAATCATATCATTCATGTACTCATCGCGTTCAATTCAACATACTATATAAAGATTACACTAAATGCATGAAACTAGCTACAAAATTTATAACAATATGACCGATAAAAAAAAAATATCTCAACCAGAATAAAACACGTGCAAGTGTCACTAACTAAAAAATAGTTGAGAAGAAATAAATTATTATTATGAATTAAAAGTATGAGTGCTCACCTCGATGACGATTAATTTGTTATTTGATTTGCTCTGATGTTGACTCTTCTAAAATTAGAAGCCTAAAAATAGGTATTCATATTACAAAAATCTGAAGTTATACACCTTGAGTTTAATTCAAAATAACTTACACGCACGCACGCACGCAC